TTGCGCAGCGTCTACCGCACTCTCTCTCTCTCTTACCTCACCTATTTGGGCCCGGTGTCAATAAAGAGACAAGGCCGGAGACGGGTCAGATACAACCGACCAGTGCGGCGTCAGCCTGTGCCTAGGCGTGTCGCTACGGACGCTTCCCCAAGTGTGGTATTCATTAGGGATGTGCACCCCAATAACGTCTACCTTGCCCTGATCTAGCCCCCATGTTGGCCCAGCGCATCTCCCACCTGGCGCGGTAGACTTTTTCAATATAATTCAGTATATATAAGGTAGATGGGCAGAGCCTACGAAAACCCTATTCACAGATAGATTCTGGCAAATCATACATAGGTTTCAGAGCCATATATGTACATTATACCAACCGTTGGTGTCTGCCATATGTTTAACCATCAAGTAAAGTTTTATCGAGTCTTATTTTAAATGCGTTAAGAAGGTCGTTTGTTCCAGTCTACGATGACCCAGTGGGAAAAGAAGTTGGCCCACACTTCTAACTTGGCATTGTGTTTCTTCAGTTTGCAGGGATGACCTCGGAGAGGTCGGACTGTCCTCACCGAATTTCTCATAAATACAGGTAGGATTACAAGTGGATACTGAGCATACTATCAGATCAGTTAGCACTGCCTTTTTCAAGCCCTCATAGTAACCCACTTTATCGCCAACCTAACCAAAGACAATCAATAACTTCTTTTATCCAGCTAAAAGCAAAGAGAAAAAGAGAGCTATAGACAGAGAAAGAGAGAGAAAGGTTGAGGCGCAACCAACCTGAAACTCGCGCAAGATGATCGGAGCAGTTGCCTCCGAGATGAGGTTAGTCAGGATTTCCAACTTGAAGAGTTTGACCTGCGTGTGATCGCTGTTAAAGACGAAGAAGTTTCGCAGATGCGGTTCAAAGAGTTCGGGGTAGGTGAGAGAGATGGTGGCAATGTTGGCGAGCACCACGTGCTGCACCTCCCTGGCGGAAAAAACGAGGGTTTACAAAGTTGGTCTGCCAGATTCTTGCCTTACTAGGCGGATAAAAAGGTCGAGAATGGGCACACACCTATTGGTATCCCGGGGTACACCCAGCTCTGTATACGTGGCTAAGGCCCCAAAAAGGCAATAGATCGGTGTGTACCCATTTCTTATTGGATAAATACAGACAATTACAGGTGGAGAGCGAGGCACT